CGTCTTCCAAAACATTTGATCGCATTATATTTTGCCTTCTAATTTTTCATTTTACGTACATTCGTCTGTAATTTCCTGCCTTTTGTTGTCGACCATAAAATTGCGATTGGCAGAGGTGGAGGCGTCCTCGTTCTCGTCCCCACTTTGCACTCTAGACACAATTTAGTCACCATGCTCTAATATTCAGGAAAGGAGAGAAGTTTGCCGGAGGATTTCACGCGGCATCCATGCACCTCTAGCCGTATGGCGTTAACATCGAACTTCTTTGCGACGATGTATTCGCTAAAAATTACTAAATTTATTTTAAATTTCTAAAATCACGCAACAAGCCCGAGTCAAGTTGACTTTTTGAGCCAGTTTCCTCTCCTCCGCGTGTCATCCTCCGCAGCTGATCCTGCTATCTCGTGCTGAGAAGTGCAATTTTTAGTAATGAAGTGAAAAGTTCGTTCCTGGTTGAGTACTACGTACGTCCTTGCTAGAGACGGATACTCGAACGATCTGCGCTAATTCAGCTTTCACCCATAAGTGTACTTTTCCCCAGTTCTTTTTGAGCGCATGTACTCCACTGCGCCATTTCCTTGAACTTTACTGCTGCTTCAACTTTACTGTGGTGTTTGAAAAGTAATTTCTATAATGACCCCCCGCTCATATCCAGATTCATCGAATGTCTCCTATCCGAGCATACCGTTATTATGGAATCTACCGCCGGTGGACCGTTTTTGTCGCTGGTAAGATGAGTTGGCGGAAAATTCTCCCCCTTGGTTGACGACGGGGCAGTTGTACTACTTTTTTTTAAGTTACTATGTTTCACAAGTGGTCGGAGGTGCTCCTTCCTGCTTCACCACTCGACAGTATGAGAGGGTAGTTTTGATGTGAATTTAGTCACAAGCCAACGCTGTGTCTTCTCTCTACTTACTAGGGCCCAATAATTCAAACTGAATCTTTATCTGATTTTTGGAATCGTCATTTGGTACGGTTCTTCTTCCTGGAATTTTTTCTGAAGAAGATTGTTTCTTTTTTTCACTACTATTTTGACTATCATATTAATATTTATTGATTAATATTTCACAGCTTCAAATTGCAAGCTTCGCTAGAACCAGCGGGATTAGCTTACAGTTGACCTACCACAACCAAGATTCCTCCTCAGCTCAAATTCGACCGTGGCCATCAGTACTTCTCTCAAGGTGTCAGGGTTCTGATTGAACAGTAGCGCTATGAATAGCTATTGATTGGTCCTACGTAGATCATTCCTTGATTTTTCAATGTTCAGCTGAGAGACCTGGCGTGTTCTCCCAGAAGGGTCGTTTTTCCTTTCTTTCCTTTCTTTTCTTATTTTCATCGCTTCCTCAAAGAAATAGAGTTAAAAGAATTGCTGCTTGATGTAATATTGGTGCGTGTGTGTCGGTTGTGTTCAGAGGT